TGTAATATCGTGATATAATATGTTTACAAAGGAATGGATGATACAGATGTTAATTGGACAGAAAAAGACGATTGTTGTTCAACCTGAACTATTCACGCCAAACATACAGAAAACAGCACAACTAAATGATTAGATAACGACTTGACTTTCACAATAATGCAATCAACACTCTCTCGGCAACGCCACTCGCAAACTCTCCTTCTCGACTCGCACGCTGCTTCTCGACTCGCACGCTGCTTCTCGACTCCTTCTCTGGCCGTTGTAGCATTCTCTTGTCTTTTGCTAGGCCCACCGCACACGTGTTCTGCAGACGCTCGTGGCCAGGGTCACGTAGGTCTTTTCTACGAAACTATGCACTTGAAAAGACCGATGACACATTGATGAACCCGGCGGCGCCTCGGCTCTCGCGACATTGTTCATGGTTCGCCCGATATCTCTTAGGCTTTTCGTCAACGATACTACATTTATATCATATGTAATTATTTTCCTGTCCTCCAGATAGCTATTAAGAAGTATCTGGATCCTTCGGTCATTCTTCTTCCTTCTGCCTCTTCGAGGATCTTATTCCAACTAGGAGTATTAAACGCGTTTTTGATATCGATCGCTGCGATTACGTATATTATGTTTTTCCTCTTACAGGTTTCCGCGAAGTCGTCGACTCGGCACACAGCGTCGACCGTACTCTTCTTTTTCCTAAATCCACATGGATTTATATGGATTTATATGGAATTTATGTGTGTCGAGGCCTACACTTCTCTCGATCAGGATCTTAAACGTGTGCTCCCAGACTTTACTGAGTGCTAGTACCACACTGATCGGCCGAAATGATGATGTAATGTGTAGGATCTTTCCCCGGTTTCGGAATGAGAACCAACCTCACCACCTTCCATATCACTAATATCTTTCCACTTCTATTAACTCGTTTAATACTCTTAGCAGTTTGTCCGTTGTTTTTTCCTCTATTAGTTTTACTACTATTCCTGGTATGCCGTCCACTCCGCAGATTTGTTAGGATTTATCTTTTTACGAGCTGCTATCAGATCATCCTCCATAATTATTAAATCACCTTCGCCGTTGTCTCCGTTACAACCCTCATCTGCTCTATCTGTCCGCTCAGTTGGCCTAGTTTGGAAAAATGCGTCAACAATTTTTTGGACCTTATTTACGTGGAGGCCGTCTGTTTGAACTTTCGGTCTATCTTGAATATAATAGTGCGATAAGGCCTCCCCTATGGGTTCCTGTCCAACGTGACGCAAATCTCCTTTCACCCTTTTTCTTTATTTTCGCGACTCTTCCCCGTAAGTTCTTCCTTTTTGATTTTAAATTCCTGGATTAATTGATCCGCGTACTGCAATCCTCTTGCTTTGGCTCTCTGAGCTTCCCTTCACACCGCCAGTAATTTCTATTCTTTCTTTCTACAGGAGGATAAATTGTCTTTAATTCGGTGGCACGTGTCGTTTCTACAGTAGCCTGGAAACCTTCTCCATATGCGTCTTCGTCGTTAGAATTATGTATGTCGGATTAAGGTTCGAATTTTGGGGGCGTTCGATGAACCTTTACTTACTTTACCATCGCGAATGTAGCTAATGTTTATTGGTACAAATGTGGACACTACAAGAGGCTATGAGTAATAGCGGCGATAGGATGGTCGAAATGATGGACAACGAATTCAGATTCGATAACAAATCCACGGTCCACGGGATGACGAGTACCGGCGTAATCCACGATTCGGATAACTTTCTCGATAACTCAATCAGCAATTCGCCCAACGACTAACTAACTAACTGACTAACCCCTAATCCAAATAATACTGCCTTTATATATTCCTGTCCCCACCTCTCGGGTCAATTTTTGTTTTTAAGGAGAGCCATATAATCATTCCATACCTCTGTCAGGTACACGTCCCTCCCGTGACCGTGGCTACGTCCAGTTATGTCACTTCGAGCCTGAACCTATCGTCATAAAGCCAGATTGGAACATTAAAACTATTTCTTATTTTTATTAGTTAAGTATAGCTATAGTAAAAGTCTGGACTAGGGTATTGGGGGTTTTCCCAACATTCCAGACGGGAAATCCCGATGTTCATTCATCTTCACATTTATAA